CGCCGCCGCCGGCCAGCAGCCCGCCAGGAGGGCGGCCCCGCCGGCCCGAGCTCCCAGCGCCTGCCGCCGCAGCGTCGGGGCGCTGGGTGCGCGGGCAGCCGCGGAGCGAGCGGACCCGAGCGGGCGGCCGCGCACTCGCCCGCCCGGTGCCACCGCTGCCGCCGCTCCGGAGCGCAGAACCCAGCACCCCCGGCGTCTGCTGCCGCCGCGAATGCGGCCTGGGCACTTTTAGCCGGGCGGGAGGGCCGGAGAGCCGGGCCGCCGAGAGCCGCGAGCGAGCCGCGCCGAGAGCCGCGCCAACCCGCCGCGAGCAGGGACGGACGCCCGCCCGCCGCCGCCGCCGCCGCCCGGCCGCTATGGATCTATTCGACTTTTTCAGGGACTGGGACTTGGAGCAGCAGTGGTAGGTGTTGAATTTTGCCTTCTCCTCGCTACTCAGGTCCCCCGGCTGGGGCTGGGCTTTTCGCCTTTGTTAAGAGGAGCCGGGGCTGTGGTGGGGGCGCCCCAGACGCCCTCCCACTTGATCTCAGCTACCTCTGGCCCCGCCGCCGCGACTCCTCGGTGGGGTGCCCGGGTTGGGAGGGGGGAGGTGCGGGCCGAGGGTGGGATGAGGGTCCCGAAAGCGTAGCTTGGCAGCTCAAGTCCAAAGAGTTGCCTTTGGCCCAAATCCGAGCCCGTGCCGCCTGCGGGCTGAGCCGCACGACCTCCGCGGGGATTTTCTCCGCGCTCCGCGGGCCCCGCCGGCCTCCCGGCGCACCGGATCCTGCCTGCCCCAAATGCTTCAACTTTCCAGGTGTCCAGCGCCGGCGGCCGGGCAGCAGGGACGGGCGGCGGCCAGGTGCCGCCGGCCTCCCTCCGCTTCCTCTGCGGCCACCTCCCCCGCCGCCGCCGCCACCACCTCCTTCCCCGCGCCGCGCGCACACCTTTCCTTCCACTCGCTCAGCCCAAGTTACCCGCTCTCGGGCGCCTGGTGGCTTAGGGGACCAGCAAGCGGAGGACCCCGGCTCCTGGCCGATTTCAGCGTTAGCTTTCAAGGCTGAGGGTTTTTGAAGTTGGCCCCCCGAGATCCGCTGCTCCGACGGGTATGCACGTGTAATGACCGGCTGGACCCCTGTCCGCCGCCCCCACTGGGAGGCAGCTGCAGGTTTGTGTCATGGGCACCCAGCTCGGACTAGTCAGCTTTTCCCAAAATACCGTAAACTTGCCGCTCAGAGCGTTTTGAAAGATGGTGCAAAGGTGACTGGAGAGCCTGAAAGTTGGTTGTTACTCACTGCATGCTGTGAGCGCGCGTGTGCATAAATAGCGATATACATATCTATTAACTTTTGTAAAAACTCCATCTTCTGCCACAGGCGTTATTATTGTTAATCCGTCACAACATTTTAACATATCAATTGTCCCCCCTCCCTACACACACAACCCATGGAATGGGGGGAGGGGGAGAGGATGCGACTGCAGCATCCTTGCTTATTGCCTTTTTAAATGTAGTTAAGATAATCTACCATACCCACCGATTGTGTGAAATCTTCTGCATCTTCTGCAATGTTAAACTGCTGGCAGCGGTTGACTATGACTGCTGTGTATTTTTACAAGGATTTCCCTTGCTGATGTGATATTTTAGGCAATTTCCTTCTTTAGAAAAGGGTCATACTCTTAGCCAATAGCTTCATTATGCCAATCGGGACTCCTTTAGTTGCAAATCCAAGATCATCAGAACTTAAATACATTTTATTTTACAGCAATTCTGGGTAAATCCTTGAAGCCACAAATTATGCTGTATCAGTATTTATCTGTAAGGCATTTTTTATACCATGCAGGGTTTTATCAGCCCTGCAAAAAAAAAAAAAAAAAACCCACGATATTATAATTTTTAATAACCATGCTGTTATTTAAAAGTAAAGATCACAATAAAATTAGTCCTCACTTAAATATTACGCTCCTGCAAACAGCCTTTACTCTGCTTCACTAATTTATTTTGCAGACAACTGATAACCAACGCATTACTATTTGCATACAATTTGCCCAATATATGGTGTGGGTAACATGAATTTAACAGATGTTGTTATAATTGATTTCGTGGGTGTAGTTCAAATGTTAAACATTTCCAAGGTATTAGGTTTTTTTAAAAAGCATTTATTATATTATTTAACTTCAGTTTAAAACACGAAAACATGCAGTTGTATATTTAAAGAGGATGGACTCTTGTGATTTCTTTTTTCAGAAAGACATTCCCCCCAATCTGGGGACTATTTTTTCTTTTATTAAGGAAAATCCAAAACCTTTTTCCCTCCAGTTCTGTAACTATGCCACATCACTTAGGATACACGCAGACTTGGACAGTCTGCAAATATGATGTGAAATACGGGTGAATTAATGTAACACATCTGCATAAATAAGCCAGCCTTTTCCCTCCGTGCCCATGCACCAGGAAAATTTCTCCTTCTTACTGTGTGATTGTGAGGGGCAAACTTCCTTATGAATCTGTATGTAAACATTTGTAATGAGGTTTGTGCATCTGTTTTGACCACCCCCCGCACCACCGGAAAAAAGGGAACATAAATGTGACAATGGTGGATGAACTAAAAAGCTTGATAGTGTCTTGAATGGAAATCTGTACCTTTGCAAACTCTGAGGACATCTAGAGCATGCCAATTACATGTTCATTATATGTTCACTTCCCCTCCTGGGGAGTAAGTAGCTGTTTAGAGTGCTGGCATCCTTTCTGCCCCCCCCCCCACCAGAGGTCCAAGGAGGAAAAAGGCGCCAGCCAAGTTAAGGGTCTCATTTACATTGGCTCTTTTCTCTACATTCACTTGTGGAACAGCAAACTCTGAGCTCTGTCTACCGCAGCCCTAGATGTCTGACAACAAATGGATCAAGCTAGCTAAAAGATAAACTCATTTACCTAGACTTAATGAAGGAAGAATTTACATACACAGGCATATGTGTTATTTGCAAACACTCGACTACAGTAAACAAAAAAGTACATGCTCATTTATAAACACACATTTGTCGGGATGAATGCAGATGGGAAGGATGGGGCATGAGTGACACTGCAGTGTGCTCCCGCGCTGGGTCTGGGAGCGCTCCAAGCCTAAAGGAACATAGCCCTGGATTTCACAAACTGCACGAGTATCTTAATAGGTTGTGCTCTGGACTCGACTAAAGGGCCAAAGCACAAGTTCTTTAAGATTCTTGAATGAAGGAGCGCTGTTTGCCTGAGTATGAATTTAATATGAACCATTCTGTGAAAGAAGAGGAAGGTGCAGATGTCTGTCTGTGTGCACATGTCTGTCTGTGTGTACCAAAGACACCATTGCTCTTAAAAGAAAATGAAAAAAGATGAAGACAAAAATGAAATGTGATTGTTTATGTGATCCTATAGGTTTGCCTGTGGTTAGCCAGTAAATGAATTCTTGAGGTGTCCAGAGATCCCGTAGCTAGGTTTAGGCTTGTTTACCACCAGTGGGGATGTCATTAATCCCCATTTAGGAGAGTATAAAAGCAAAATCAGTGTGCAGCCTGTCAGTCCTGCGAGCTTCCCTGCCCACCCTGCCCCATATTGATTAGGTATCACTTTGTGACAGGCCAAGGTCCTTTTGGGGGACGTTTATCTTCTTTTCATTATTGAAAAATAACAACAACAACAACAACAACAAACAACAACAAGAAAGAAGGACAGACAGGTACGGAAAGGGAACACAGAGTTCCACACAGAAAATGAAAAGCAAACCACCACAACAGCAAAATCAGACTGTGAAAAAGTGTCATGAAGATGGTGGCAAAGCCGAGGGGAGGGTGGCGGCCTCCTGGCTGCGAAGGCCTGCGGTGATCGTTTGTAGTTTCTAAGCGATGGCTCACAAGTAGCCTCATTAGAGGCCAGCTTCCACACGGGCAGTTACACAGGAAGAGACTTAAACTCACTAAACTGTTATATAAATAGAAAGTTCAAAGGTCTGCGTGGGGCTGTCAAGGCTGCGAAGGGGCCATGTGCAGGCCAGGCTTCTTCTCCCGGGGGGAGGGTGCGGGGGCAGAGGGGGAAGGAGCCCCTGGGGGCCTGCTTTGCGGGGGAGGGGGAGACCCCGGTCTCCAGACAAAAGTGAACTGTTTCAGGGCAGCCTGGCCGCCAGCAAGGCCTGTGTAGCTGTAGTTGTGCGCAACAGTGGCCCAGACCTGGTTATGGATGGGAAGGTGTCTGGCGGGTGGGGGGGGGGTACACAACCTGCACCAGCCTTGGGGCCGGTGGGGTAGCAGGAACGTGGAGGCCTCCGGGCAGGGTCCTGTTTTGACTAAGGCCTACAGGTTGCCAGGATTTCTCATTCTCTACGTGCATCCATTTCTCTCTCCCTGTTCCCCTCTGTTTGCCTTCCATGCATTCATTCAGGGAAGCCTGTGGGGTTGAGTCTTTTAAGGGCGTGTCTGGGGAGGCTAGATGGGAGGCAGTGAAGTTAGCTAGTGTGGTAAGAAAGGTCTCCTCTACAACCCACTCCCCACCCCTTACCCCCTTGCAAACATCCCCAAAGAATAAAAGCTATCTCTCTAAATCTTAGAAAGGCACATCTATTGGACAAGAAAGAAAATGATCGCATGTTCGAAATCAGTTTAATGATACATGAATTGTTTTGCTAATGATTCAGTCAAGCATTTAACAACTTTAAAATATACAAATCAAAATTGAAAATGACTGCCTTAAAAATGAATCTGTCATTATAGACATAAACAAGATTCCAAACATTTAAACATTTTGTAGATGGATAAAAATTATGTTGTATTTAAACATGCTAATTATTGTTGAATAGAAATGGCTTTAATGTGCTGAACCTTTATTTCATGCCCATTATTCTTAGCTAAGACTATTTCTTGCATGCAAAATTTGTACACGTTTCATGTAATTTCAAAATCGTAAATGTCCAATAAAATAGCCATCTCTGGAACCATCTAGAAGCTGTAGCCTTATGAGCTTGTAGCTCATACCTCGGAAAGTGAAACTGCCATATCCTTGATTAGCCTGTAGCCATGTAGACAAAACATTGTTCCAGTGATAACATTTTTCACTTTTAATTTTGTCTTTCTTTTTCTGATTGTTGTGGGATAAAGAAAGAGAGATTTTAAGAACTTGTTTACTGATAGCGGGAAGGAATGTGTTGCTGATTAAAGAACCTGAGACCACAACTTGAGCAAGCCTTTTGACCAGTGTGTGTGTATGCATGTGTGTGTGTTTCACCTGTGTATTCTAGAATACATCACCACTGCTGCTACTATTATTTGAGGGTTTAGTCTGTGCCCCGGGCATCAGCGAGTGCTTTGAATAGTCAATCTCACTTTATCCTGCAGACATCTTTATGAGACAGGACCTGTTACGATCTCTATTTTACAGATGAAGTAATGGAATCACTAGCATTG